GGATTCATGCATCACGTATGATGTCACCTAACCTGAATTACTTCTTAAAGGACCTACCTGAAAATATTTCAGAGGTTAAGCTTCAATGTATGAATATGAGGGTAGGGCCCACAAGTCCTTCCCTAATAGACAAGCGGGTCACCCCCCTCTGCCTCTATTCCTTTTCTTTGAAGACTAAAGCAGCACCCACCTCTTCGTGAGGACTAAAGGAGATGGCACGTGTGAAGCCCTGGGATGATAGCTGTGTCGAGATGCAGGCACTCTGTAGGCCTCAGCAGACTGTCCACTGCACACTGATCCTCCAGGCATTGAGCCAGATAATCTACTGCACTCATTCTACTCACAAAACAAGGAAACAAACATGAAAACTTAGGAGTGGGGGATGTAGCTCAGTGGCGCAGTGTTTGCCTGACAAACATAAAAACTCAATTTTCTCAAAAAGTATATGCTGAATTATTCTGGATTTTCTTTTTTGTTGTTGTTGTAGTTATATACATGGACATTGCCTTTGATTTTCCATGTGACATGTGTACCTCCCTGTTCCCCTTTTTGGCCAATATGCTCTAGCAGTCCTAAGATAATGATTAGTGTGTGGCTTCTCTGGTGCTAGAACTTCATCTGTGTGTCATTAACTCAGTCAAACGTTCTAGCTAATGTTGACCACTTTCAACACTGGGAATGGGAAGGCCAAGCATCAAGAACAGCAATGACCTGGCCCAGAGGAGAGAAGAGAAGGAATAAAAAAATGATGTTGTGTTAGTTGATGCATTTGGCTGAATCAGCTCCAGCACATCTCAGCATGGGGGCCTAGCCCTGCAGGTGGGCAGGGCCCAGGAATTGAGAAAGGCTTCCTGCCGCCTCGCCTGGTTTCCTGCCACCCTGCCTCGCTTCCGTGGAGAAGTCTCAGTCTTCGGAGACGCTTGATATTGGCAGCCGAACCCCTTTGGAGGAGCTCCGATCTTCTCTGATCTTCGCCCATCTTCGCCGTGGAGCGCTGGTCTTTGCAGTCAGCCCAAAAGGAAGAGAGAGGCTTGCTGGACGCCGCAGCTGCCGCTCCTCCTCTGCTCTTCATTGTTTTCTGCCGCATGAACTGCTGTCATTTGCTTTGCAGCCAGTGGAATATGGACTGAACCCTCCAGTAACTATGAGCTAAATAAACCTTTCCTTCATTTTGAGCGTCGGGTATTTGTCCCAGCAACAAGTAAAAAGTAACTAAGACAGATGTACACAAAAACAATGGTATTTTGCTAAAGTTACAAGTCTGTAGAGGGTAGCGCAGAAGAGTAAGAAATGTAAATTATTGTTATTTTATTCATAAAATTTTAAGTACTTCATCTTAACTACAATTCATCATTTTTGGATTACATTATTCCCATGTCTAAGAGAAAAGTACTCATTTTCTAGCATCTGCTTGGAACTTTTTTTTAAAGGCAAACTCAGAAGTGTAAATTTTGTATACTGAATTCCTCCACAGGAGAAGTCATAAGACAGGCCTGAACTTGAAGTGATTTTTTATGCTGCTTTTAAATCCCAAGGGTTAAAGTACTTATAAAAAGAGGCTGGAATAAGATAAATAAGGTAATCCACCTGGTTCAAATATAACAGTTAGCCTGGCATTTCCAAACTTAGAAAGTAGAAGGCCCAGGAAACTAAAAATGCCTCGTTTCTACTTCCATTTATCTGCCTAGGTCAAAAGAAGCTCTTCTGTATCACTTAACCTTGGAAATAGTCTCTTGAATTGTTTTAGAACCTACTCTAAAAGATTTCAGGGGCTGGACAGAGAGTTGAGCAGTCTGAGCTCAGCTTGCCAGTCTGCCTGGCAAGCGCAAGGACCTGGGTTCAATCCCTGGTACCATATGCCTTGCTATTTTGTGGGTCACCAAAACAGGGCATGGTGGTGCGTGACTGTAATCCCAGCACTGGGGAAGCTGAGACAAGAGGACCACTATGAGTCCTAGTTGCACAGCAAGACCCTGTACTAAATAAATAAAAGATTTTTCAAGAAATCAAAAAATTAAAGATTTCAAAGACCGATCTGATTCTTTCGATAAAGAGGTAGTCTGTTCAATAAAACTTAGGTATAGAAAGTTTAAATTTGCTAGGCAGATATTTTGACTTATTCATATTATAACGCAGTTATTTAATTAAAATAGAAGCTCCTTGGTACCTTTCAGCATTTGCTAGATTATTAACTACTTGGGAAAGACCTAGAAAACATGGAAGATGCCCTTTCCAGGCAAAGACAGAGCTTCTGCAGACAGGAAAAACAAAAGGAGACACACTCAGAGACTCCAGTGTTTCCTCAGAGGTAAAACTAAGCTCCCTTTACAAAAGGAGTCGGGAACAAGGTGTGGGTGCACTTGGGGTACAAAGCCTCCTGTCAAGTAGCATTTGTTGCACCTCGCTGTAGGCCAGACCTTGGGCCAGGTGCCTTCAGTAGTTTTTCATTTAAAATTTCAGACACCCATGAAAAGTGATGCCATTGTCCCCTCTCGTGGGTGAGGAGAACTGGGCTCAGAGCTTGCAAGGCAGTGCGGGGCTGAGACTTGAGCTCCGATATCAGCCTTCTGCTCTTTCCACGGTTGACAATATCCCAATGAAAGCCAAGAAGCTGGTGACGCTAGTGGAATTGTCATCATCGCTTCAGGTTGGCATATTCTTTTACTTTTTCCCTTTTAAAAAGTCAAGCGATTTGACAGGGGCCTCAGCACAACAGTAGATATGAGGAAAGTTAGCGTCACTTCCCTACCCTAAGAAAAATGTTTGTCTAATTGCTATAGCTTTTTTTTTTTAAGAATCCAAACTAGTGATAGCAAATAAATAAAACTAGTGATAGCACAAAAAAAAATTAGAAATGATACAAGATTTCACTAAACAAAGTAATAGTCAACAATGCCTGCTGTATTACATGATGCTATCTTTAAATTAGTTGTTCAGATTACCAGATATAAACATGTAAGATTTGCTTAAAGGAAAAAAACAAAACAAAACAATAACAAAGAAGTAATAAGAAACTCAAAGGGGGAAAAACAATTTGCTTGGTTTATATCATACAGACCTATGAGTCCTGGACTGGAATCTAAGACACCCAGCCCTGACTCCTGGCTCATCCTCCCGGTGACATACAAGTTTAGGTAAATGGTGTCACCTCCCCAGCCCCCATTTCCTCACCCATTGAATGATGCAGGCTTCTATGGTGAGTGCTGAGTGTTTTTCTTTCATGCACAATCTGAACGTCTTTGTCAATATGCATGAGTAAGACCTCGATAGAACATGAGCTCAGCTCAACACCAGCAGTATGAGCTGCTCTTCCTCACCAATAATCTCTTGCTTTCTTAAAGTCTTGGAGATTATTTTTCAAGAATCTCTACTTGAATTTTTTTTTTCAGAACCAGGGATTGAGCTCAGGCCCTTGCGTTTGTCAGACAAGCATTTATTCTACTGAGCCATCTCCCTGACCCCTTCTATTTGAATTATCCCTAAACTTACTAGACCGTACCTCAGCTGTCACCTGAATCAGGTTCACACGTCAGGTCTATTTTCTAAAACATAGAACAGGTAGTTCTTGAAAGGTTCAGGATCCAAAATGAGAAGTGGAGCCATCCCTACAGCAGCAAGTCAGCAAAGACAAACTTCATCCAATTTCAAATTTGGTTTAATGTTAATCTGAGTTTTGTTATAAGTCAGATTGCAATATAGACACCTTTTTTTTGCCCAGCCATAATCTTGCTGCTATCCTTCTTTCTTAATGCATTAAGTAAATATTGATCTCTAAGGGGTTGGTGAGATAGCTCAGTAGACTAAGTGCCTGCTTTGGCAAACACAAGGACCAGGATTCAATCCTAGGTCTCACATGCCAAGCCAGCCCTGCCCCTGGGGCATGCTGAGCCTGCAACCAAGTCCAGGCATGGTGGTGCACGCCTGTAATCCCAGTGCTGGGAAGGCTGAAAACAGGAGGATTGCTACAAGCCCAAGCTGCATAATGAGACCCTGTACCAAATACATAAAATGAAAAAAATATCTATAAGAATTGCTTGGGGGCCGGGGAGATAGCTCAGTGGAATAAGCACCTGCCTGGCAAGCACAAGATCCTGAGTTTAATCCCTGGTACCACCAAAAAATTAAAAAAATTTTAAAAAGAATTTCTATACATACCCAAAAAACGAATTCCTAACAAAGACTGATTTATCAATAACTTGGTTGTCAGTCGAGGCCAAGTGTTGCCAAGGTCATCCGATGCCTTATTAGAACCACTGAGAAAGTCAAACAAAAGGGAATGCTCTATGAGACTGCCCTTTCATTCTCTCCAGGAAGAGCAGCCAGGCCAGCCTGAGAGCCGCCTCTCATTAATGGAATCCCTGGAACCCAGGGGGCAGCAATTAAATTGGAAGTCACTTTCCTTGTGTAACTGACCCCCAGGCAGGAAAGCCACACATTGTCGAAGTGGTTTGAGAACACATACAGAGAAACTCACCTAATTAGTTCTTCACTTTAACAGAGAGGCAATGACCTTGGACCCAACATGGCTGCATTTTTTTTATCCTAGTGTATCTGCAGAATGCACTATGTCCATCGATGACCATTGCTTTCTCACATCAGCAGAGACAGCCTCATCTTCAGGGGGATCCTCCCACCTCTGCACCACCCCCATCTGCATCCCCTTCCTCTGGAGACTTAGACACAGCAGCATTGGAAGTCAGTGTCAGTGTGAATTCTGTAGCTTGAGGCCTGACATCACTACTTCACACTACTTACTGCATTTAGCCTTCATCATGGCTGTTCTCTGGTATTCCAAAAAGTCATAATTTTAAAGTAATATCCTATGAAATGGATCTTTTTAAACAAATACCAGCATATAAAAGTCGTAAGATTCTGGGCAGAATGCAAGGCGGCAACATACCCTGAGACCAGAGCCACCACTCGCCATCTGTTTCACACACATCCCTTCACACAGTGCCCAGGAAAAGGATCTTCACAGGCAAAACCAAATGCACACTTACCGTTGTCCTCAATAAGACAATGTCTGCTTCTTGCAAGGAGCATGGGACACAGTGTGCCCAAACGCACCATGCTGGCCTCCAGTAAAACACCAAGGGGAGGAGTCCAAGGGAGAAGATGGATCCAGCAAGACAGAGGGCCTTCCGGCAGTCTTGAGTCCGATAGCCAAATATTTCCTGAAACAGAACCACAGTGACTCTGGGTATGGGTTAAGTGCAACAAGTGAACAAATGAGGGTTGGGGAGGTAGCTCAGTGGCATAAACACCCGCCTGGCAAGCGCAAGGTCATGAGATGGATCCCCGGTACTAAAAACAAAAAAATAAGTTAGTTAAATCTGATCTAACAAATGCTGATTTTTAGCGATAAACAGAGGGCAGAGGAGAAGAGTTGGTGAAGGTAAGAAGAGATCATGCTGAGAGGTGGAAAGAGTAGTAGGATCACAGACAGAAGTTTCAGATATGAGCGGCTGGTGAGATGGCTCAGTGGTCTAAAGCACCTACTTAGAACAAGCTTAGCAAAGCACATGGACCGCTGTTCAATCCCCAAGCACCACATGCCAGCCAGCCCCGCCCCCTGGTGGGCTGAGCTGGCCACACATACACACACACACACACACACACAAATAAATAAATAAATAAATAAATAAAATAAAGTTTCAGATATGATTCCAGACCCCTAAAAAAGAGCCAGCGAAGTCAATTCTACAACCCCCACAGTAGCTACCCCAGGCCACGCACTGCACCAGGTGTTCAGACACAGGGGTTTCTGTAAGTCCCCCAACCATTTCTGTCCTCAACATCCCTGAAGTGAGAGAGTATTGGCCTTATTTCACAAGCAATGGGTCTCAGCTCCTAGCGACTGAATGACACGGCACCACTTGTCCAAGGCCACGCAGTTGGAAGTTCTGCTGCTAAAATCCAACTCCAAGTCTGTGGGCTGCTGATCCTGGAACTTCATTCATAGCCACAGTGGGCATGGACATGAGCCATCTGACAGGAAGGTAGCTGATGATAGTGACCAAATGATGCCCTTGGCTGGGACCAGGGACACGGGCAGAAGCAACTACAACCGGGCCTTGAGTTGGACACTGGTTTCGGTAGAAGAATTTGATCACAAAGAGGGTAACAACCAACATGGCTTCAGGTGTTGAAGGTAGAGCTGTGTGTTCCACATCCTCCCTTGTTCAGTAACAAAACAAAGTTTATTTATTTATTTTTTTAAATTTATTTTTGCAGAATTGAGAATTGAACTCAGGCCCTTGCGCTTACCAGGGGAGCCCTTATTCTACTGAGCCATCTCCCCAGCCCACAAAACAAATTTTATACGAAGAGGTAAATCCAGAGACTATATGGTCTACTTCACTTCACCCTGGTGAGCACCTGCTGCCTGTCAGGAGAAGATATTTTATCCTGGAGAATATAAATTTGAACAAAATAGGATTCTCACTTCTAACATACATATAATCCAGACAAAACTCTTCCTTCCAAAAAGAGTCTGGGACAGAACAGAAAACCACCTTTAGGGCTTCTATGGCTGCAATCCCACCACAGCGTCCCATAGTCACATATACTAAATGAGGTTGGAAACTATGGGAGAAGTTTACCTTTTTAAAATTACAGTTAAGAAAGCACTTTATTATGAATTCTCCTCCAAACAGTCCCCCTCATTCCCAACACACTTATCCCATTGTTCTCGCCACCTTCTGAAGCCTTTCTAGGACTCCTCTTTTGTGAATGTCTTTGGTTGTGCTGTCATGGTTGCCTCCAAGTCCTGAAACAATTCAAACCTTTGACCTTTCATGGTCACTGTGACTTTGAGAAAGAGCCAGAAGTCACACGGTGCCATCTGTCATGAATAGGGTAGATGAGAGCACCCTGTCATGTATGTAGAAGACTGCCTTTCCATTGAGCAGCACATGGCCACACATTCAGTGATTTGTGTGTGTGTGTGTGTGTGTGTGTGTGTGTGTGTGTGATACCCAGGATCGAACTCAAGACCTTGTGCTTGCCAGGCAAGCACTCATTCCACTGATCTATCTCCCCAGCCCAGCATTCAGCGAATTTTGATCATACCTTATAAAGACAGTAATGAAAGATGACTTCCAGAACTGCTTCACAAACTGTCAAGAACAATGGACCACTGTGAACTAAGCAACTACGAGGACAGCAATGTGTAAGCAAAAACCATACTTGCATACCTGTCATCTTGGTCTTCTAAATATGCACCACTTTCAATGTTATATCAATCATTACTATACTCTTTAAAATAAATTTTTGAAAAGTAACAAAAGAAAAAAAAGACAAGAACAAAAATTTAAGATGTCTTGAAAGCAAGCTGCAATATTCAATCATATGTCCAATCTTGCAGAACTATATCTGTTAATCTGAGCAACAGATTTGATGATAAAAATAGATAATATATCAACCATTGTTAATCAGCCATTCTTGTTTTGAAAATCTGTAACATATGTATTGTTGTATGTTACCCTGTTTTTTGTTCTTGCTTTTGTTTTTACTCATCAAAATAAAATAAAATTATAACAGAAAAAAAGAACATTGGGCTAAGTATGTTTCACATGAAGAATAGTACTGTGAGGGGGATTAATGGCAATATAAAAAAAGGAAAAGAAGAGAATGTATTTTCTAATGTAAGTAACTACCACATTTTTCATCATGACTCATATTTTATGCTGGTTACAACAGCTAAAATTGAGAAGTCGTAGAATGCCATGCCTAAAAGGACAGATACTACCTCCATCACTGGATGTGTGACCTTCACTAAGACCTTCTTTGTTCCTCAGTTTGTCATCCATAAAGTGGGAGCAGTGCTGTCCCCACCTTGTAGGCTGCTGTGCACTCTAAGTGAATGGATTCACTCAGGTGCTGCAGAGCACCACCTGCTGTGACCTGTTCCCATTCCCTGATGGAGACCTGAAATTCCAGCCCGTGTTTATGGGGCACTAGAGCCCAGGGTTCCTAGTGTGGGCGTCTTGCTCTTGCTGAGACAGCCTCTGTGGATGACAAGGGAGCTGCACAGAGGACTCGACAGCCACCCACTTCTCCGCCTCACCTGATAAAAGCTCCATTCCCAGGAAGGTTCTGTGACCTGTGACTGAGGCTGCCTTTGTGTATGATTATTCGGTGATCGCCTATTCTGTGTGGTGCTGTGGGAACTGAAAGGCGTCCTGAGACGCTGTCTCCATTTGGTATAACTTCTTAATTCAGAAATAGAAGCTCTGCACTTGCTTGGCAAAGCCCAGTAGGGGCCCGGACATGAATACTCCTTGGCCCCAAGCTCACACCACTGCGGTCCAGAGGCCAAGGTTAGAATGGCCCTAGGAGTCGCACTCCATCGGGCCCAGATCCTGGCGTTCCCGCCCGTGCCAAGTTCAGCCACCATCTGGCTCTGGCGCTTTCAGTTTCCACACTTTAGCACAGACCAACACCCCCATCTCATCAATTCCTCATTGTACTGAATTACACATTTTTTTAAACATTTATTTATGTGTGTGTGTGTGTGTGTGTGTGTGTGTGTGTGTGTGTGTGGCCAGCTCAGCCCACCAGGGGGCAGGGCTGGCTGGCATGTGGTGCTGGGGGATTGAACCGTGGTCCCTGTGCATTGCCAAGCTTGTTTCAAGTAGGTGCTTTAGACCACTGAGCCATCTCTCCAGCCCCTGAATTACACATTTAACAGCTTCTTTATATTTCCATCCAGTTGAGTCCCATGTAGCCGGCACAAGCCTGTCTGTTAGCGGGCCTTCCTTGTGGCCTGTGCAATGAGAGACGACTGTCTCCAAAGCATCTTCATGTTCAGTGTTAAGATAAAGGAGGCAAAAGTTATTATCTTCATCCTTGTGTTAGGAAAACTGGAGTTCAAAGTTATTGCAGATAATAATAACTGTTATTAGTAACTCATTACTATTGATAATAATGCTAGGAGCTAACATTTATGGGCATTTAAAAGACCTTCACAAAGTACTTTATTGTTTTTTTTTTTTTCACAAAGCACTTTACATATACACTCTCCCAGTTGAAAACAGATCTACTAAGTTTCCCAAGATGCAAAGCTCATAAGTAACTCCACTCTGGAGACTCCTACAGCACGCAGAAGATAAGAGGGGCTGGCCATTCCCACTGAACAGCTCTTTCTTAGCCTATTTCTAATTCCAGTTTAAATTACCACATATGTACTAGGTGTCTGCCAAAGGCAGCCATGTGTTAGACTCAGAGATAAACGAGACAACATCTCTAGCTTGAAGGAGTTCATTAGTTTAGTAGAAAAGAGAGACACAAAGAAATAAAACTAAGCAAAGCAGGGGTTGGGGAGATAGCTCAGTGATCTAAGCTTCTGCCTGGCAAGTGCAAGGACCCAGGTTCAATCCCCAGTACCGCATGCCGTGCCAGCCCCAGAACCCTGGACATGGTAGCGCACACCTGTAATCCCAGCACTGGGGAAGCTGAGTCAGAAAGATCACCATGGGTCTAAGCCGTATAGTGAGACCTTGTACGGAATAAATAAATAAAATATTTTTAAATTTTTCTAAAAAAATAATTAAGCAAAGCAGAGCGAACAGGTTACACAGAAAGGTAACTTCATAAATGCTCATCTGAAAGCAGAGCTTTTAATAAGAATAGTGGAGCAACAGTAGAGCGGAGTGCCCCAGCCAAGGCAGAGGAACCACTTCCTGTTAGACCACTGTGTCACTGCACTGTGTCCCAGCTCTCTGGCTGGTGGACACTACGAGTCCATTCGGTGACTCCCGACCCATAGCTTTGCTGAATTTACTGTAAAAAAAAAAAAAAGATGAAAAATACGGGCAAGGCAAGTTCAATCATTGCTTACTGAAGTGGGTTGATCTGTGCTGACTCAGAGTGAATTGCATCACAGGAACTATTAACAGACATTGGGTTTAAAATTGCAAAAATTAACTTGGTGCCACTCTTATCAACTGGTAGCAATTTGCCGTCTCTATTTCTTGAGTGCCCCCCATGTCCCTGAATGCTTGAGAGAACGATCCCTGCCACCCTACACTCCACCAACTCTTGCCTCCTACACACAGGGATCAATGAGCCGAAACAAGAACATGAGAAAAATATGAAAAGAATATTGCACAAATAATTAAGCTTGTGGAAGACTGCGTGCATTGCAGAATGGCGAGGTGCCCCTTTTCCCTTC